TCTTTCCTTTTCTGTTTTCCAATCTTTTTTTAAAAAAAACATTCACACACAACCCCCCCACCCCCGGAGTATGAGCAATTTTGAACAGAACGTGGGAAGTTCCTCTTAAAAAGAAACTTGCTGCCTGGAATCTAGTAGGGTAAAGTTACTCCACATAAAGCTGATGATGTCGTCTGCTATTTTTCTGTGCTTAAAAGCTTCAATTTCCCTCCCGAAGGCTCCAAGGCTCACTTGAGATGCATTTCATCCTAGGGAAGTCTTTCCTTTCTGAAAATAGCAGCTACTGGGATGATCTTACCAACAGTGGTGATTTTAAGCAATTAAAGACTCCCCCACATTCTGCGGCCTCCAAAGGTTCCACCAGGACAAAAAGGATCCCAAAGGCGCACTAGAACCTTCAAGGACGGGGCAGGGAGATTTCATCAACTTTTGATGCCTGAAAAACTGCCGCAGCTGGTGACATCATAAGCCATACGAAGCATTACTTAACATGATTGGATTACAGCCATTGCGTTACTCATTTCTCCTCAACAGCCAGCCTGCTATTATCATCACTGCTGCTTTGATTTCACAAGTAATTTAATGCATTACACATTATTAATGCATTTTTCTGTTGTTAGCAGCAGGCAAGAAAAGGCATGGAAATACTCTCTAGTGGCCTATTCTAATATTGTATTTTGCAAAAATATAAAAGCCAAACCAAAAAAATCGTGCCATCTAAGGATCAATAGGAGAAATACACAAAACATGGGAAACTTTTGTCAAAATGCATCTAGGGGGGGAAAGTGTGCTGCTTATATACCTCCTCATAGTGCTTAAAGCACTCTCTGGGTGGTTTACAATCTAATTATGCAGGCTACAAATTGCCCTCCCAGCAAGCTGGGTACTCACTTTACCAGCCTTGGAAAGATGGATGGATGAGTCAACTTCAGACCTGCTACCTGGGACTGAACCTGGGCCATGAGCAGATTTTTAACCACTGCACCACAGGGCACATCTATCAGTACTGTTCCTTAAAATGTCTCTACAAAGCAATTTGGAATGTAACAGGAAAACATTATTTTATACCCCTGAAAACAACTTTATTATAATTGTTTCATTGCATTTACTGTAACCTTGTTACCCAAAAAGTATCTAGTTGGAGACAACATGTGTGGTACTTGTAACTATTTACTTCCATGTGCTGCTATTTTGTTACAGAAAGGGAAACTATGTTTTAATATGGTAAGGGAGTATTTACAATCAGGTACATGCCCAGGTACACACTGCTGGAGCAAAAAGAAGAAAAAGATAGAAAACAGTGTCAGATCCAATGAACCCTTGCCAAGTATGTCTAGGCTGATATGAGATCTGGTTTATTTTATCAGGCATGCCTTCTCAATAATAATAATAAAAGTCTTGCTATGTTAAACGGGGCTTAGTCTCTTCTAAGAATGTTTTGGAATTGCAGCCATAAGCTCTTAATTACCTAAATGTCTTTAACGAAGGATTGATAAGTTTGCATGATATACCCCCAAATTTGTAATATCTGAAGCTGTCCAAAATATTTGCACAGGAGGCTTGGACGAATAGGTATAATCTCCGAACAGGAGAGAAGAGAATACAGGTTCGTTTTTTCCAACGTCCTCTCTTGACCTTGAAATGGCATTATGTTGAAGGCATTACAAACACCCACTCTTTCCTCTCTCCCATTGCTCGTTTGAAGTGGATTGTGCCCTTGTCAGCAAGCTTTTTTCATTACGTATTTTATTTTGGGTGCTTGTGGAAGGGGGTGAAGACAATTAGATTCTAAAGCAAAGATTTTTAAAAAATGAGGGGAAGGGTTTCTGACTGAAGCTCTAAAAGCCCCTTTCAAGTTTACTTTATTGCAGAATCACCTGCAAGTGATATTGCCCCCATGGAGAATGAAGTGTGAACCCTGTGGAGTGGCATATGGGATCAGATCTTTGAGGAGATTATTTTAACAGTTGTGATCCACTGCTAACCACTTCAGCCAATAGGATTATGTTTGAAATAGGAACCAGACGGAAGTTGATCAGCATCATGTAATTTATGGGATTGCTTCTTTTATGTTCCAGCACCAGATAAAAACATAGCAAGGAGAAGTGGAAAATAGAACAGAACACCTGAAGCTTATCCATTTAAGAAACAGAGGTGTGTCCTTTCTGAACATGTGTTTCTGTCCATGAAGAAATCTGAAATGTAAAAGTTATACAGGTACTATAGCTGTTGTCTTTTAGACCATATTTCTTCATGTTTTCGCGATCCAGTCCGAGATTCCTACTGTCATCTGTCCAAATTGTGTGCCACATATAAGATGGCCCTTCAAATGTTAGATTCCAGAAGCCATCTGCCCCAAACAGAGAGTGGCAAGGCTACCTCTGCAGGGCCATAGGTTTCCCAGGATTGCCCTAAAATATATATTTATCCCCACAAAGCATCCTCAGGAGGGAATGCAGGAGAAAAGAGGCAGGAGGGATAGGTATATCCTTAAACCATCACTTGCTACTAGTTCTCCCTTAGAAACTCTCCCCTCAACCACTTCTGTCCAAACTCATCTTTGCAAGAAAAACACAGCCCTTGTGGAAACCTATGTGTGGGTTGGCGGAGGGTGAAGGTGAGAGAGTGTGCTGGTTTGGGTGACAATAGGATTTTGCTTTTTTTCTTCCTGTAATGCAGTTTGTGATTTTCATTGAAATTACAGTTGGATAAGAGGATGATTTAAATCTTCCTTTGCCACACTTTGGTTTTCACATGAAAACTGGGGGTGCCTGCTTTTACTACCAAATTAGGTAGAAACAAAAACAAAACAATAGTATGTTTTCAAAAATGATCCAGTCAGTGTCATATGTAGTTATGTATTACAGTAGAACAAGAACAAGAGGATTTGTGGCCATAAATTGGAAACAAAAGGGTTTTGCAGGTAGGTGGATGGATGTACTTCAGAGCTTGCAAAATAAGTATTAATAAGTGTCATTTTGTATGTCAGCACCGCAGAGTTGCATTTTTAATAACTTTTGACTGGAAGAAGGTTACTGTGCTAGTTGATGGTAGCAAAACCAATGAAAAGTCTTGCAGAATCCTAAAGATGAAAAGGTTTTGTTTGGCACAAAATTTTGTGCATTGTAGCTGACTTTATCAGCTAATGAAAAGACATCTGATGGAAGTGGACTGCAGTCCACGAAAGCTTGCACAAAATAAACCAGATAGTTTGCTATTTTTAAGAATATTAACTTCTGCAAACTATACTAGTTGCAGCAATACAAAGTAAAACACCTGTGTTCTGGATGAAAAAATAATTTAGAGGAGCCTCATAATCTGAGGCACTAAATCACAGTTTGTGTCATTCTTTCATGAGTACATGGCACTGATGGCAGAAGGTGGTTTTGTGCAGGGCAAGCCTTCACAGCTGTTCTTCGGCAGAGCAGAGAGTAGAGGCCTTGGGCAATGGACATTCAGCAGGATCCCTCGTAAAGGGTATTTTCCAGGTATGTAGCACAAGCTCAAAACATTGATATATAGCAGTGGTTCCCAGCCTTGGGTAGCTTGGACTGCAGTCTGGCCTGCACAGCTGGTGGCAAAGGCTTCTGGGAATTGCAGTCCAAGACCACCTGGGTTACCCAAGGTTGGGTAACCACGTCCCACTAAGGTTGGGGACCACTGAAAATAAAATAAATGAATAGACTACCAACATTTTATGACACAGCAAAATCTGCTGCCTTGAGACTTCTGCCTCACTCTGGCAAATGTCAGGGCCCGTGCTGACCGTTAAGACAGGCTTTTAAAGATGTTACATCTCTCTCCCTCCTGGACTTTAATGTAGAAAGTCCCCATGCCCTCACTACATCGGGTCCAGTCAGAGAGAAAGAAGGCAGGCATTACCTAGTCCCTTTCACCCCTTCTCTCCAGTGCCAAATTTACATGCAAACTAAAGGGGAAAAATCGTTTTAAAGTCTTGGACTATAAGGAGCCTTTAAATTAAATAAAATAACAAATACTGTAAGTGCAATTTTTAAAAGAAATCTGCCCACCCTGTCTCTCAAAGTTATCTCACCTAAAAATTAAGCCTC